GTATTTATTATGATTTTTTTGGAATATATATTGTGTGAACCTCTGGCATCTGAGTAAAATGAACCTAAATGTATTTATTATGATTTTTTTGGAATATATATACTCTTATGTTGAATGGTAATTTTTTTAGGTTAGAGGAGGTACTCCCGTAGGGAGCAACAATACGATACGACGTTCTAATGCAGACGACACTAATAACAGTGATGCCAACAACGACGATGACGAGGAGTGAGTGAGACTTGTTCTTATATTTATGTAGTTTTAGATTGTGTTAACACATGTTGTGACTTTTGAATTTTACCTATATGTAATATATTTGTGATTTTATTGCGTAGTGAATGAATATTGTTTGAGCATGCGAGATGTGTTGTGATTGTGATTATATGATGAGTATTGTTCGATATTGTGGATTGATGGATGTCGATGGATGAGTATTCATTTGGAATGTGAATGTATATAATGGTTGATTTTATGATATATTATTAAATATTGTTATTGGATTGATGTCGATACAGGCTATATGTTTATTCTCGTATAGAGGTTACCAGAAAAATTAAAAAAAATTACATAAATATGTACATTGGCGACGGATTGCCCCATCGCCAATACTCATTGGCGACGGGGCAATCTGTCGCCAATACTCATTGGCGACGGGTCGCCAATGTTTTAAACATTGGTGACGGACTGTCCCGTCGCTAATACTTATTGGAGACAGAGCGATCCATCGCCAATGTTTAAAACATTGGCGACGGATTGCCCTGTCGCCAATACTCCTGTCACCAAAGAATTCCGTCGCCAATAAACATACGTCACCAATAAGTATTGGCAACGGGGGAACCCGTTTCCAATACGTATTAGCGAGGGATTTATTGGCGACGGATCCATTTTCATCACTAATGTGTATTAGTGATGGATTTTGGGGCATTGGTGATGGATTTCCCCGTCGCCAATACCTAGTTTTTTACTAGTGCATGGTTCCTCACCGTTGACCCTCTCCTGTCCCTTGAGCACCCTTGTTTGAGGTACCTCCTCCTCCTTCGTTGTCATGTCGTCTTCCCCACCTCTACTCCTCCTTCTCGACCCTCCCCGTCCTCTTCTCCCCCTCCCTCTTTAGCTCCCCCTCCTCCCACGATCTCGAACTACATCGTCACCTGCCAACCAACCACCCTGCTGACCTCCTCTCCCACCACCTCGACGACGACCTCTTCCTCGTATCCGGCTGACCTGCTTGGGACCTCTCCTAGGACCCTTCCGCCTACCCTCCCCTCTGGGGCACCACCTTCCTCCAGATCCCTCACTTCATCATCACCGTCGAGGCACATGCCTAGCTAGCCTTAGCAGGAGCATGTACGATGTTTCCTACACCACCTCCTCCCCCCCCACCCCTGACCATCCTCGTTGGTTGCATCCCTATCTTCTTTGAAGAGATTTAGGCCAAGAATCAGTACAGGAGGCATTTTTTGCCCAAAAAGGAGCATGAGGAGTTCTCAGTGTTTATACCCAAAGAGGATGTAGTCTTCAATGGGGTGAAGATTGTGCAAGTGCTGGAAGCCATTCTGTGGGCGAGGGTTAGGAGGATGAGGGAGAGGGCGTTGAAATTGAGTTATCTTTTATAGGACAAATTTTTAAAACAAATCCTTTTTTAAACTTATTTTTAAAAAACGACATGTTTCAACTTTAATTACCAAAACCGACCTGAAGTCCCGTGAAGTTTTGTTATGTAAAAAACTTCACGGGACTTCATCTCCCGTAAAGTTTGGAAACTCTTTTCGCCAAAACCGACCCAGTTTCAGAGGCTGAAACTGGGTCGGTTTTGGTAATTAAAGTTAAAACAGGTCGTTTTTTGGGAATATTTTTGCAAAAGGGTTGGTTTTGAAAATTTGTCCATCTTTTATATATATGCGGGACTAACTAATAGTCTTGTACATTTTAAAAATAATTTAATCTCTTTATTAGCATTGACTAATTATACGGGACTAGTAGTTCCGTATATTGTTGAAGATGACATTTTGTAAATGGTCCTTTTTAGTAAATTCTTCAGAATCCCAGAACGTTGGAGGATGTTGCACTAATTCCCCAGAATTTTTCTTATTTCGCTAGACCTCTATGAACTTTAGGTGTTATTGCATATAACCCTCTTGGCTTTTTTTTCATTCCACGACACCTTACCTGTAAATTTTTCATTTAGTACTCAAATTAATATTTTTAGTTCTAACATTTAACATGACAAGGAGGCGGAAAAAAAGATGAAGAGAACTCTTTAGACCATCTCCAATGGCAAGGCAAATATTGCCTTTCTCTCTCCTTCCACCTCACTTTATTCTCTCTCCATATCACTTGCCTTTTCCAATTGTCTTTCAACTCCACAACAACTAGTTTTTCAAAAGTTTTTCACTTTATCTTTCCTCCACATCACTCAACCATATACCCCACCATATTTATTCATCCTATTATTCTTATTTTTTATACATTTTAATTGTTATTATATTTACTAATATATTTATAATTATAAAATTTAATTTTTATTATGTAATAAATAATATGTATTTTTTAATAATTTATAATTTTCAAAAAACTTAATTTTAAATGCAATAAATAATATATTAATTTTATAAAAGAAAACAACACACACTATTATTAATGTAGTGGTAAACCAAACATACATAATTTATTGAAAACGTACAAGAAAAAACACACCAAACATACATAGTTTATTGAAACATGCAAGAAAAAACACACCAAACATTGAAAGTTTTTGACATTTCTATTCGAAGGTTGCTCCAAATTTTTGCCAAATGTGCTCGACGAGATCCTTTTTCAACTGAATGTGTTTGGCCCTATCACGTAGATCGGCTCTAGTATGAATATCCGATTCGGCTCGGGCTTGAACGTGCACTTCAAATTGTGGCAACACTTGTGTTTGGACATTGAAAGAGGAGCTAGAGCTAGCACTAGCATTGTTCGATGGTTCGAAGTCAATATTTTCCCAGTTTCGCAAATATGTATCTCGTTCATCCTCGACTATCATGTTATGTAAAATAATGCAAGCCCTCATTATTTTACCTAAGACCTCAATGTCCCACATTCTAGCGGGCTGGCGAATAATAGCAAATCGTGCTTGGAGAACCCCAAATGCGCGTTCCACATCCTTCCTACATGATTCTTGTTGTTTGGCAAACAACTGCGCTTTGTTGCCTTGGGGCAATTGAATTGATTGGACAAAGACAGGCCATTTCGGATATATTCCATCTGCAAGATAGTAAGCACGATTGTATTGTCGCCCATTGACAATGAAATTCACCTCCGGGGCTTCACCGGACTCAATATCGTCAAATACCGGTGACCTATCTAGTACATTAATGTCGTTCAATGTACCTGGCAAACCAAAAAAAGCATGCCATATCCATAAATCAAAAGATGCCACTGCCTCAAGGATAACTGTTGCCGTCCCCTTGTGTCCACTAGTAAACTGCCCTTGCCAAGCCTTAGGACAATTCTTCCATTGCCAGTGCATGCAGTCGATACTTCCAATCATTCCGGGGAAACCACGCTCCTGACCAACTTGGAGTAACCTCTGCACGTCTTCCACATTTGGACGTCTTAAGTATTCATCTTGAAACAAAGCAATTACCCCATCGCAAAAATTGCGAGTGCACTCAATTGTGGTGGATTCTCCAATCTTCACATACTCATCACATGCATCTGCGGCGACTCCGTATGCAAGCATGCGGATGGCAGCTGTACACTTTTGGATAGGTGACAAGCCCAATTTTTTTGAATTATCACGCCTTAGAGTGAAGTAGTTGTCATAATTTGATAATGCGTCTACAATTCGTAGAAACAATGACCTTTTCATTCGATATCTTCGGCGAAACTGCATGTCGGAGTAAGTGCATGACTCGTCGAAGTAGTCGGCCATGAGCCTTTGATGGGCTGCTCCATGATCCCTATGCAGATATTTTTTTTTTGTGTGGTCGTTCGTTTCTATGTTGTAACTCTTCAAGAAGTTGTTGTTGCCTATCGAGTATGGAATTTTCCAACTCCCATTGTCGTTGGACCTCTTCAAGGTTAACCATATTTGGGGGTAGATCCATTGGATGATAATTAGAGGAAAGTATGAAGTAAAATGCTTTGGTTGATATTCATATGATGTGCACTACCAGATTTATAGTGAATGAGCTCCGGATTCCATTCAATTTAGTTAACTAAATTGAATATGAAGATAAGATATTGAGTAGTCATAGTCTTGTCTGAGCTAGTGGGTTGATTATTGATTTTGGAGTGTAATGCAGTGAGTAGTCATAGTCTTGTCTGAGCTAGTGGGTTGATTATTGATTTTGGAGTGTAATGCAGTGAGTAGTCAGAGTCTTGTCAGAGTTGGTGGGTTGATTATTGATTTTTGGAGTGTAATGCAGTGAGTAGTCATAGTCTTGTCAGAGCTGGTGGGTTGATTATTGATTTTGGAGTGTAATGCAGTGAGTAGTCATAGTCTTGTCAGAGCTGGTGGGTTGATTATTGATTTTGGAGTGTAATGCAGTGAGTAGTCATAGTCTTGTCAGAGCTGGTGGGTTGATTATTGATTTTGGAGTGTAATGCAGTGAGTAGTCATAGTCTTGTCAGAGCTGGTGGGTTGATTATTGATTTTGGAGTGTAATGCAGTGAGTAGTCATAGTCTTGTCAGAGCTGGTGGGTTGATTATTGATTTTGGAGTGTAATGCAGTGAGTAGTCATAGTCTTGTCAGAGCTGGTGGGTTGATTATTGATTTTGGAGTGTAATGCAGTGAGTAGTCATAGTCTTGTCTGAGCTAGTGGGTTGATTATTGATTTTGGAGTGTAATGCAGTGAGTAGTCATAGTCTTGTCTGAGCTAGTGGGTTGATTATTGATTTTGGAGTGTAATGCAGTGAGTAGTCATAGTCTTGTCTGAGCTAGTGGGTTGATTATTGATTTTGGAGTGTAATGCAGTGAGTAGTCATAGTCTTGTCTGAGCTAGTGGGTTGATTATTGATTTTGGAGTGTAATGCAGTGAGTAGTCATAGTCTTGTCCAACTCTAGACCTTTGGATATGTAGTCATTGTCTGACCAACCACTACGTCTCTCCCTAGTAGCAGCACTATAACAACCAACAAAGTTACTAATCTTCTTGTTGAGGTCACGAAAATGACTTTGACATTTTACAATGTTCCTCTGTATCCCACGATCGGAGTTCTCATTCACGTAATCAGAGATTTTGCCCCAAAAAGTATCACCCTTTTGATTTGAACCCAATTCACTGTCAGTACTGTAGTGGAAATAACCAGTTAATAACAACTTGTTCTCTTCAAAAGTCCAACTGGCGTAATTTCCTTTCTTCGCTGATTGTTGGGTTGGAGCTTCAAAACTGTGGGGAGTATCCCCACCAAGTTCTCCCAGAGAGATTTGTGTAGAAAATTGTGGGATATCAGTGGATCCACTACTAAAGCGAGGTGTGTTTGGCTCACTAGTCGGTTCAATGTTTGGAAAATTGACATGAGATGGAAGAGAGCTGTTTCCAGGAACTGGTTGATAGCCATATGGCATATAAGGATGATTATACGGGTATTGCATTCCATAAGTTGGTGGCATCATAGTAGGATTTTGATAGCCATATGGCATGTAAGGATGATTTTCAGGCCGTTGTGTATTTGGATTTTGAGGTTGCATATTCGGATTTTGAGATTGGTTTGGATAGTTGTAATTTGGGAGAAAGTTTAAGTTAACTGAAGGATCCATGAAGGATGTTGAAGATGGAAGAAGAAGAAAAAAATGAGAGGGTGAGAATGTGGAAGTTGGTAATATAAGGAATGAAGTGAGTAAAAACTTGATTTTTTTTTTGGTGTCCAAATAACATAAACTCAAGCTCTATTTATAGACCTTGAAAAATAAAAAATAAGGGTGAAAAAAAATTAATTTAGAGCAATTATTGATATAAAAAAAGTCATTTAAATAATGGAAGAAAGAAAAACAAAAGAAAAACAAAAAAAACAAAAGACTTTCTCTTTTGTGAACATGGACACGCGCCTGTGTCCATCTCAATGTCCCAGCTTCGCTGACGTGGCGCAAGGAGATTGGTTAATGCATTTTTTTGTTTTTTTTAAGGCAGCTGCTGACAACCCGTACAAGATGGAGAAAATTAATTGGTAGGCAAATTTTGCCTTTTCTCTCTCCAACTTTTCATTTGCCTACCCAATTGTTAGCCATTGCACCAAAAAACATACCCAATTGTTAGCCATTGGAGATGGTCTTAGTCGCCCAAAAAAAACTCTTCATTTGATTCCCAAAAAATAAAAAAAATACTTTTCATAAATTGAGTAATGTTGTACAAGGTAATGAAATACGATAAAGCAGAAAAGTAAATTTATCACAATATCGCAAATTAGTAACTTGAACGTCAACAAAATGCTCTCTAGCTTGACTTTCAGAGAGAGCTGAAGCTGAGACATTAATGTGCTGCTCATAGGCAACTTATCAATTTGGCCGAACCCTCTTGGGTAGGCAATGTCCAATATTATGAACTTGCAAAATCGGTCGCTGCATCATAACTATCAGTTTTTATCCTATATAAATAGTGAAAATAAGGTGACAACTTATTTTGCTAAATGTACTACTAAGCGATAATCATGTGATAAGTCTCACCCTAAAAGCCACATTAAAAGGTGTTAGCCTCATAATTCTACCTCTTAGTAGCTCATTTAACAAAATGACCACTACCTTACAACAATCATTCCCTATCCTATAATGTGAATGAAACGATGTCAATTTGCAAAATTTTGGTTATATATGTCTAAAAGTAGATTGTGGTATCCACTGGAATTGTTGGTTTCTCTTGGTTTCTGTGTTATATTTTATTTTCTTCATATGTTATAACACATGGATAACCTAGGATTCACAGTAATGGAATTTGTGAAGAATCCAGTCCAATAATCACAAATTAATGTAGATTGCCAAGTTCTTTTATTGACTTATTTATCTATCAACTTTCCTTTCTTTTTCATATTCAATTAGGAAGTTAAACTCCGATTCCAAGTGTCACTAAGCTTGAACTATCTCAAAATCTTACTTCTAAACATGTAAAAGATGCTCATAAACATGTAAAAGGTGATGACAACGCCCGCTCCCGGATGTTTTACATCTCCTCTGGTTCCTACTCTCTTCCAGTACTTTTGGTTTGTTCATGTAAATACCATCCTTCATCTTTTTATATTACTAGTATGATTGCACGTGCAATGCACGTGGTGAATTCTTTAAATTTAATTTAAAATAAAATTTTAATTACGAAAAGATTTTGTATAAATTTATTGAATGTAAATAATTTAGCCAAGATATGAACATATTCATATCGTATCTAGTACAAATGTGATAAATTTATTGAATGTAAATAATTTAGCCAAGATATGAACATATTCATATCGTATCTAGTACAAATGTGACCAAGCTTAGTAACCAAGTTAGGTAGTATAACAGTCGCAACAACAAGTGGTAGGTTTAATACTATGGCAAAGTCGAGCACATTGTCACAGATAGCTGAGTTTATAAGTCACTGTTCCATTACCCCCGGATACTATCCAATATTGTTGACATTTGAATGGGCAAAAGAAAAATAGACATTTGAAAGAAACACTATCAAAGGGGTAACCTTTAATTCTTTCGTTCTTCCTTTTTTTCCCCTTTCTTTGGCATATATTTTTTAGGGGTAGGCAGTTATCAGCCATCAACCAATTAAAAAGCTAATAGTTAAAGCAACAATATTGGATAAATAGTTATTCTTCTTTAGCTCCCCTGGGGGACCTGCATCTCTATCCAATGATATTGTTAATGCAAAGTGGTGTTGCGAATTGAATTCCACATTCGCCTGAGATTCATATTTGTATACTTGTTTTAAGATATCAATGACAATAATTTGGGGTTGATGTTTGGTTTCTTTCTTTTTCCCTTTGACTAATAGTTGAAATGGCATCTAATTATGTTTTCTTGGTTATTAAGATATGCCTTGAAATTATTGTTGTGGCTGACAAATCTGCCCATTACCTTTGTGAGTTAATGGAGAATTTTCTACGCCTTGAAATTATTGTTGTGGCTGACAAATCTGCCCATTACCTTTGTGAGTTAATGGAGAATTTTCTACAGTAGTTACTATCTCTGGCTGTGCCATCTTAATCTCAAAATGCTGCTTGTGAAACATGACGCATATAGATGGCGGTCAAATGGTTTTGGATGACCCTAAAACTCAAATCGGTTCTTTACCGCCTTCAGGTGTTTACTTGGTGGACGGGTATTGAGCTATTGCTGAGCAGCTGATGACAAAAAGCGAGGGATTCAGGTGCCGCTATTATCAAAGTCCAAGGTGAGCTTTTACAGCAAGAGACGCCTGAAGATTCACAATAAGAAGAAAAAGAATTGATGGTCTTTGCAATACTTTGTCGAGTTCGCACATGTAAATTTCTTTGCAAACCATAGGAGGCTTGTACTTTGCATTGTTGCAATAAAGAGATCAACTCATCATTCTATTTCTAAGAGAGACAACAACTTGCATTTATCATGCCTACGTATTATATAAACCAAAGAGGCACAAATCAAATTTAAGAACATTTATATACATACTTGACCTTTCTTTAGATTACATGGCTAATGCTGGAAAAATAAGACAAAATAAAAATGTGTTTACTAAAACACTCTCGAGAAAAGATCTGAATTTATACTCAATGGAGAAACTCTCTATGTGGAGCTTTGTGTGGTAAATATAATACATCATTATGGGTCATTCATCAAAGGGGCGTTAGACTTGATCTATGAATTTTGCTGATAGCAGTGCTTTTATGCTCTTGAATCATTTGGCAAAGATACAACTCTCCCCACTATCACAGTGATATCATCTGGCTTACCACCTGCACAAAAATAGAAAGCAGGGGAAAAGAGTAAGAAATAAGAAATTCAATGAAATAATGCAAATGAACGGCTATAATTTAGAATGCGCAAAAACAAATAACCCAAAAAAAAATCATGCCTGTTAGTTTCTTTCCAAGAATTTTCTTCCACAAGGGAACATCAAACCCCTGTGAAGGAAGATAATCATACCATAAACACATAAGAAAAATTGCATGCTTGCTGTTAACAGTAAACTTCAATCACAGACAAAATTCCTTTGGTCTTTTGTTTCGTTGTTTACACACTGGTGGCACTAAATAAAGCATGGCGTATAGAAAGTTTATATTTTTGGGAGAAGATTCTAGTAAATTTCTAGCTAGTTGCTTTGTTTAAGAGGAAACAAGTGATGAAGGATGATGTAACATACCCTACTCCTTGCTTCGATAATATAGGGTGAATCAAAGTCTGTATCGGTTGAATGACTGCTTGCTAGATCAGCTAATGCCTTGGCTGCAGAGAAAAAGTTCAAATTAGAGCGGAATACTCTTTATAAATTAGGGTGGAGCACAACTCTTTCAGTATTTATGAGGTGATGAAATATACCAGCTGGTGTCACATCGTCGATCCTGTAAATGATGGAAACAATTTCTTGATCAAATACATTATCAAAAAGTCCATCAGAACCCATAACAATAGTGTCTCCTTCTATTAACTCTAAGCTGCAGACCTGCATAAAGGGGGGAAAAGCATGCAACTGTTGGTGAAGCTAAATTTTGAATTTAGTTTCCTGGAAAAAATCTCACTTGAAAGGTCAATATAGAAGCACTTTTTTATACATAAACTAAACATTATTTCCTGTAATTTATGGTTTCAGGTGATTATAAAGTTTGCTCTCATATAGAGTGGTCTAAAACATGTGTAATCAAGGCGACATAAGGTTTTTTTAAAAGCTGGAATTTATTATATTTGATAAGATTCTCTTAATCAGGAAGTAGATGGATCTGCTTGTGTTTTCATAAACAGGATAAATATTTGTCAAATAAACAGTCAGTATCTATAACCGCCCACGCTAAGATACAATTTTTTTCAAATAAACAGATGTTAATCCAATTGCGTGCTTTCTTCCTCATGCAAAGCATTTGTGCTCTCTCCATCACCCCTGATTCTTGGCTTTTCCTTTTGCAGAAAAGAAATAATTCAGAGATTCATAGATAGACAGGTGAAGGGCGTCAAAGAGTTTGAAATAGAAAGAGAGAAGCTGATGCTCGAACATGAAGAGAAGAAGGTTGAGCTCAAGCGCAAGTATCTGGAGGAGGAAGTTGAACTGGAGAAAGAAATTGATACTGTTCTCACTAAATTGATGGGCAAGTATGCAAATTAGTATAAATGCCAGTCACAGTGTGCAAATTAGTCTATATGGGCACAGTCAATAATACAAAAAAGTGTGAACTGGATATAGCATTCCATTTCCAAACAAGGGAACTGTATCAAAATAGTAAATGATTGACGTTGTGGTTTTGGTATAATAAGAGGGCTGTGACAAAAGAAAAAGAACAAGTCTCCTAAAACTAACTCAAACCAAGTAAAGATGCAGTCACATCCATTTTAAGCGCAAGATGAAATTTTCACCTCAAATCAGATGTAAATTACTATAAACAAACAAGAAAACTTTAGGAACGGCATTATATCAAACAACTTTAGGAACGACAATTAACTTACCATAATTTAAAGAAGATGCACATAATTTCTTGACATAATGGTAAAATAATTGGCTCAAACAAGTAAAGTCTCAAGCATCGCATAGTATACTACATACTACAAAGTATAAATAAGTTTGTCCATAAAAACAAGCAACAACAGTCCGCGGCAACAACTGCAGTCTAGAAACTGGACCGCGTGCAGCCATTGCACATAGTCGAGGGCTAAAGCAAGGATTGCTTGTGGTAAGCGCACACTGGCATGATGATTTTCTTTTGTAGTTTGATTTATTTGAGTATTTTTTTAAGGGGTTTCTGTCTGTAAAATACCAGAACTCAACTCAACTGATCAACAAGTTTGTCAAGGACATCTCTTTGTCATGTGTGGGAAAAAAACCACATAACTTGAATGCAGTTCATTACGTGTGAAATCTAGGCCTTGATGCTTCAGTTCAAACCTTTCTGTTACTTTTTTTTTGTTGCGACTGGACCATGTTATTTACCTGTATTCTTTGGTATTGTTTTTATTAAGTTGTAATTGCATTGACCATGCCTTCATTAGCAACTGTGTCTTTACATGTGGATGGACTGGCCCATAGAGGTTACAGCATATCGTGTAGAGTATGTGAAGCCCTGTTATTACACATGAAAATAGACTTAGTATTGAGGAACATTAAGTGGGCCTGAATTAATAAGATAATTTAACTTTGATTATTTTCTTTTCTTTTTCTTCCAATTCAGTTGTTTGTCAATTAGCCAAGAGTATACCCCAGTTTACCAGACATTGAAATACACGTGCATCATCGAAGAAAGACAGAGTTTTCCCCCTAAACATTCATGCTTATCATAGACTATAGGGTTAGTTATCATATGTGCCAAGACTCATAAGTAAGCATTTGACATTTAGTTTTAGTTTACAATCAAAGATGTGACCTATATGTTATTAATCCACAAAGAAAATGATTGCGGGTCTAAAAAGCATGCGTAGGCATCAGCATCTAATGTAATTTCATAACATAAATAACATGCAACATATGATATATAAAGAAGATGATTGCTAAGGCCAAGTCTATATGACATTATACTGCATATGAGAATAATTAAAAAGGAATTATGAGAATGATAAGATAACGGATACCCAACCAAGTTCTAAACAAATAAATTCGGGGCGATCCCTTCATCAGCCTGTAAATAGCCCTCGAGTTGTTCGACTCCATAATTGGAACAAGCCTAGATTTCCAATAATTTGCACAGAATATATCAAACATGTTGCCTCATCTAAAGTTATTCAACAGGCGAGGACTAACTAATCTGCTACAGTATCATTCTTTCCTACATATATCCAACCACATAGATACAAAGATGAGCCTATGTAGAAATTCCTATTATACTGAACTATGTAAAAAGAGCACGAACAACCACATATTATGAAGAGGAACTGAAATAGACTGAAAGTGAAAGTTACCTTTACTGATAATTACTTTCTCTGCCTTTCGCTACGTGGCAATGAAGCATGAATACACTAAATCATCAACAAATAAAGCAACTTTAGGAACGATATAATTCGTGCATTAGAACTAATGATTACCTCCCTACGGAAATTAACTTACTATAATTTAAAGACGATGCACATAATTTCTTGACATAATGGTCAAATAATTGCTTATTCAAGTTATTCCTGAAAGAGAAATATGATGTATATTGCATACTTCACTGGCAGAGTTTGCCTTCATGTATCTTGTAAGTTGTAACGTGATCCAATTTCTTTAATCATCGAAATTATACTTCTTTAAGTGACAGATGTGCTTTGAAATATAAATTCTAGAAAACTTTGAAGTGTCCTACAGTGCCTGTTGAGCATGGATTTTTGAAGTTGTACACTTCAGCTTAACTATAGGCTCTATATTATCTACTGATCTTTATTTTAGGAGAGTTCAGTGGTCTTTTTTTCCTTTTTTTTGGGATGGCTGGTCATTTGTGGTTATTTTGAACTTTTCAGTTTCTCAGATACACAGACATCAGACTGGAGCATCTAGCTTTCACATTGAAGAAATTGATAGGCAGGAGGATCGACATCAGAAAAAGGATTAAAAATTTCCAAGATCGACAAAAACTCACCCCGCACGATATCAAGAACAGTCCTAATATCCCTGTTCCTCAGCTGCGGTAGCACCGTTCGAGCTCCTCCGCGTACCTCCAAACCCTGTGCGTGAAGCTAGATAAATTTATAAATTGATCAAATAGAAATTTATAAATCAAACCAAATTTAGAAGAAAATGAGAGGACTGAAGAACTAAAAGGGGATAGGTAGAGTTAGGGTTTTGTATAAAGGAGTGAAGACGAAGAAGAAATACCTTACTGATTACTGAATGCCCAAATGCAGAAATCTTTGGAGATGAATGCGGAAATTCTGAAGAAATAGTAATCTGTGCAAATTTCTGTAACACTTCGGCTTCGACGTAGAAGGGTAACCGATGAATAATCCTCATCTTTGCAAATTCCTGTAACGCTTCGGCTTCTTCGGAGAAGGGTAATCGATGATCTCTTCGGCTTCGGCGGAGAGGAAGACGTAATGGAGGTGGAAATTCCCGATGCTGATGACGAATTTAATGAAACGATTTTAAGGGAGAAATTGGGTATATTTAAGATGGTTGAAGGTTACTTTGGGGATGAGAAAGTTTTTCAGGAACTGGCTCTTTTAAAGGGTAGATAGATATATATCAAGAACTGGGCACCTCACCCTGTTTATAACTTTCAAAAAAAAAAAAACTAAACTGGAACATTTTATCCCAAAAAATGGGAAAGAAAAAAAGAAGAAAAGAAGAAACTAAACAGGAAGAGCCCTACCATTTTGTTAACTTTCAATCGAGTTCATCTGCACCAGTAAGTTAAACGGTCAGTAGAAACTGTTAGTAATGTGATTGTAAATTATATGCTCTTGATAGTGTTTATTTACCTTTTTTATAGACTAAATTGCACAAAAAAATCATAAATTTTTTATTAAATACTACAAGTTGCATTTTAATACAATAAAATACCACAAAGTTCTCAAATTTTGCATATTACTGTCGTTAAGCATGCAAACGTGGAAATTTTCACCGAAACGTTTCTCTATGATACTTACATACTAATTCTAGACCTTTTTAACTAACAATATTCGTTAGATTTACTATTAAATCAACCAAATTGTTTATTCAAACTTATCTTAGTTCTACTTTAAAATAGAGTTGGGATATTTCTAATGAAAATTTTGACAATATTAATGGTTAGAAAGCTATACGATTAATATGAGTATCATAGAGAAATATTTGGGTGAAAATTTTCATATTTGCATGATCTATGGAAGTAACATGCAAAGTTTAGAAATGTTATGATTTTTTACCAAAATGCAACTTATGGTAATTATTTGTCCAAATGGAACTTCATACTATTTTTATGCAATTTAGACTTTTTATGGAGATATGGTTTCTCCCCACTACTTTTTCCTCTTAACTACTAAAAAGTAGCGGAGAGATCACTATTTTCTATCACAGTTATTGATTTATCTAGTGGATTGTCATGATTCATTCTAAATACATGACTCATTAATTGTACTCCTTTGAACTACACTCATTTCCGATTCATATTTAACCGGCTTTCATGTGTCATGCCTTTTTAGCATTAACGACAACAACATAAACACCGGAGCGTGGGGCAAAAAAGGAAGAAAAAACTACCTTTATTCATGCTTATTTGAGTCTCCTGGATACAAGACATCTTGGTTCAAAATCACACATTCCAAATGCACGAAAAGATGGTTTACGTGATAAATTGATATCTAACGTCCACAATGCTCTCTCATATCTCAGATAGTCTGTAATAGCATCATTCATAAACCTACGTTGATCTGCTTCGTTTTTTAACCCTTCCTCTTAATTGTTCTCTTCCAGTGTACATCTTTTTCTCCGTCTCCTTGATATATATCCTGTAATACTTTCTTACTTATGGACACTATCAAAACCATGGTGATTGCAACGAGCATCTTTGTGATCCTCATGGTGCACTCCCTTGATCGAGCAACGAGCAGGAAAGATTCAATTTCAGATATAGATTTTGATCGATGCACTTGCGAATGCGAAAGCGACTATGAAGATTGCTTGTCTGAGTGCGCAACTGAGCGATGCAATGCAATATGTGATGACAAGCACCTAGTATGTCTCTACAATTGTGCAGGTTCTATAAATTTGAGTAAGAAACCGTAACAAAAGCAGAAGTCATCCACGTAATGCATATGGTGTATGATAATGTTTAGCTTAACGGAGGAGATATCTCATAATAGAATAAAATGGAAGAATATGATTCATGTAGCCGGCTCTAAACATTTGAGATAAAGACTTTGATGATGATGTTATTGTTGTATGGAAAAAAAATATATATAGTGCTAGCATGTACTTGGGAAAGAAAAAAAAACTTTTGTGGTGTGAACGGAAGGGCCAAGATATGAATAAACTGTAAGAAAATTTCTCCCTTTTTTCTAAAAAAAAATTAAAATCTAATGGGTTTAAAAACTATATACTAATATGTTTTTTGCATCAAAAAATATGATTTATTATTAACAAAATAGACAACAAATTAGTGGTTATCATATTTTACAAAACATAAACTAAAGAGTTGAAAATGAATATATCTATAATACTTATAAATGAGTATTTTTATGTCAAAGTGTTTGATTGCCTCTTTTGCCCTCTCAGTTGGATAATTCTCAATTATGTCATTATCTCTAATTAATCATTCAATAATTATTCATGACCTTTTATTAGCTTTCCACCTTCTCATTCCAACAAATTAATAATAATAATAATAAATTTATATCATAATTTAGAGAGAGTATGACTGTTCGGACTAATATCATGACAAGAATGATTGTTTTGTCATCAAATCTGCCAAAGCATCTATTTGGTTTTGTGCATGACCTTCTCTTAAAATAGACATGTTATCCTATACCTGCCATAATTCAATAGATAATCTTATTCTTTAACAAATCACAATAATAAAACTAAAAATAACTAATTAAACATGAAATTAATTCTTCATAAAAGAATATCTAGTAATGTAACATAAAAAAGCATCCCACTAAATAAAAGACATAAATAGTACTTTAAGTATATAAAACAGTACTGTTGCAACTAATATCCAAAATATCAAACCATGTGCAGCAAATTTGAATTTCCCCAGGAAACATTATCTTCACGGGTAGAAGATTGTCTTGCATAAGGTGGTAGAATTTATATTGGAATTGATTTGGTAAATAAAATAATGGTCCCTATATGTTAAAATTAGAAGGAAAAAATCTATCTACCCTTTAAAAGAGGGAGTTCATGAAAAACTTTCCTACCCCAAATTACCCTTCAACCAATGTAAATATACCAAAGTTATCCCTTATAATCGTTATAGAGAATTTATCATCCTCAGAAATCAAAAGCCCTAAACTTACTGTCGGTTACGCCTTCCCTCCAGCATCCGGTTCATCGGTTACACTTCTCCTCAGCCAACGTTGTCCCACGATGTTAAGTCAACGTTATCCCACGATCTTAAGTCATCAAATGCCAAAGATGAGTATTATTGTCCGTATCATCAACTTACCGCCTCTGCCATCATCTCCTCAGTTCTCAGATTTTTGGCATCGGTTAGTATCACGAAGGTTTCTTCGTCTTCTTCACTCCGCTACACAAAATCCTAGCTCTAATTGTTAGTTCTGCTCAATTCACCCTATCCTCTTTTTGTTCTTCATTCCTCTCCTTTTGGTCCGTTTGTTCTAATTTGATTCCTGCGCTCAACATGATTTTGGTAGAGAAGATCGTGCCCGCTTCAAAGACCTCAGATGGGATCTTGCTTCCCGAGAAAACCGACAAGGTACCATCTTGATTTCTTTTCCCATTTAATTCCGTGCCTTTTTCCAAAATTTGCCGTTTTCCCTCAATTTTGTTGATGAGTCTTGCTCCAAAATCGAAACTTTGACATGGGTCACTCTGGTTGTATTTATTGTTTTTGAACCTTTGGCGAGAATTTGTTTGCTTATTGGGTAAAGGAATAATTTTTTTAGGTTTATTAAGGTACACTGCGTCCGTTGCAACTGGTAATTGCAAAAAATATTTTTTAATTTTACTTTTAAATTAATCTGTTATTTGTTGGGGGTTCACTTTCAACTGCCTTAGGATTTTGGTGAACGCAACGGGACAATTTGTAATTTTTTTTTTTAGAAAAATGCGATGGTGATATTGTAGGTTTCTGATTCTTGTAGTCAGAATAAAGCGATTGTATGTTTTACTAATTTTATATTGTTGCCAAAATGTTGAGAGCATTAGTTTAATCTTAATTTTGATGTGGAAACTGATTGAGAAATTGGTAAGTGATCACCCAACACCAAAAAGGCGATTATGCGTGGATGAAGAGTTGTTTACTGTGTGTATCCTCATGACTCTTTGTTCTTCATGAGCATTTTGCATTGTTTATGTTGGTGTTTAAGGAAATGCAATCATTGGTTGTGAGACGTTCTTTTAATTATTTTTTCGGGTAAAATTTTGTGTGTTTGGATGTTTGAACTGGGATAAGTTTTTATTAGTAAATAGATCTGGAAGCCTGAAACTTGATGGCAGTTCTACACCGAATGAGCGTGCAGTATGAATAAATATATTATATCGATGGTGGCAGTAGTTCATGAACTCAAACATTGTCTTTACAATATTGTTAGATCCTAGAGTGGGGTGATTAGGGTCTTATGCTAATCTAATCCGATTAAATGCCAATTAAAATATATTAACAAATTATCCTAGCAAGTATGAAATACAACAAGAATATAAGCTAGGATAAGCAACATGAACAATGAGATATATCTTATATGATAGAAATATATGCAAGGATATATAAACAACACAAGGGTAAATAAACTAAATAAGATAGTGGATGAAATAAATGAGCAATGCACAATTAGCGATATAAGATGAATGCGAAAACAAATACGCCAAAGACAAACTCAAACAAGCAATATGATCACGGAGTTCGGACCTTCCGTCCTACGTCTCCGCTCCCCACTCCCGGGGAGAAATCCACTATCAACCGGGTTTTCTACGTTCACCCGAATAACGTTTACACCTCACACTCGGTTTTCTAGCTAAACAAAAACTTTACAATCAACACACTATTGTAATCCCACTCTACACCCACTAAGTGTTGGACCTAGCCGTGTCTCCCTCAAGTGCTCGGTTACAACCTCTCCCTAGGCTCATCAACCGACGCCACTCCTCTTGGGACGATCCCCGACTCTCACCACACACTCCTCACTCGGTGTACAAGTGTATTACAAAGTGAATCTCACAATAAGCACAAAATAACAAATGATGGTTCTCTCTAACAAGGTGAGAACTCAATTAGGCTCAACTCAATGTCACACTATCCCACAACCTAGTTATATAATGTATGCAAATACAATAAGCTCAATGGTTGTGTGTGTAAAAAAAGAGTAAATCAAATCAAACTTAACTCAATATAAAACTAGCTTTAATAAAAATGATAATCAACAAATAATTATAGA